TTTATGAATCTACCCAGGGCGGCGTTTGGTACATGGGTCACGCTGTTGCCTGGGATGCCTGCATCCGCTTCCGACCCAGCTCCCTGCTAATGCACACCCTGGGAGGCAGCAGGTGATGGCTCAAGTCCTTAGGTCCCTGTCACCCATGTGGGAGACCTGGATGGAGTCCCAGGCTTCTGGCTTTGGCCTGGCCCAGACCTAACTGTTGCGGGCATTTGGGGAGTGAACCAGTGATGGACAACCTTTCTCTGTTTCTCTGTCTCTGTCTCTCTGCCTTTCAAATAAAATGAAATAAGATAAAATGAGCTCTGTCAGGCTTATCTCCCCTGACGATGCGAAGGAGCGTGGGAAGTGATTCAGATTCCACAGTCAGAGCCGCCTTCTGTTGAACCTGCGTCACTCTAGCGCCATCAGGAAGCTGAAAGTGGTGAGCCGGAGCCGGAGCCCAGCTCCCCCGGATGCTAGGATTTCAACACGTGAGTTCTGGGGGACATACCCGGCCCACACCAGAGGCTGGCTGTGTGGCCTCGTCACCCTGAGAGGAGTCCCCCCTCCTTGATTGTCACACAGGGCCAGCGCCACCCCAGCGAAGGAGGGGCCAGAGCCAGGACCTGCTGCACTAGGGACAGCGACGAGCAGAGTGGTGCCCAGTGACACATCCGGCCACTCCCTCTCCCCGGCCTCAGCCCTGGCAGCACAGCAGCATGGCCCAGATGCCTTGTGAAACCCCACAACAGTCGGGCCATCCCAGGCTCTGAGCAGAAGTCCCGCAAAGTGCCCAGGGGATGAAGGGACAGCCAGGACCACCCCCTACCCGCAGGGCCGGAGGATGCTCAAATTCACCCAAACCTGAGCTCTCCCTCCCTGGGTCCCCAGGTGTCCTGGGCCTTTAGAGTCACTGCCAATGCTTGCATTGAACAAAATGCCTCCGTGCCTACACCCAAGGCTTCGCTGAATTTACAGCTGCTGTTCTTCCCCCTGGGAACAGAAAGCTCTCCCCATAATTACGTGCCAGTGGCCATGAGAAGGCACCTTCCCGAAAGTGCAGCATACACATGAGGACACGGGGCTGGCTGTCTGCAGGGGCAGGCGTGACGAACTTCCTGCAGAGCTGGGAGAGCCCTCAGAGACCATGCAGTCCCAGCAGCCATTTCACAGGCGAGAAAACGGAGGCCCAGCGAGATCACATGGCTTGCAGGAGGTTCCAGCCCTGACTCGCCCTCTCCTTCCCCTCCTGCCTCCGCGGTTCCCAGCAGCTTGATGGGAAGCAGCCTGCTTCCACAGTGCACGAGAAGGCCGCCTGCCCCGCCCTGGCTCCCACCGCGTAAACTGCACTTTGCGTGAGTGGTCAGGCCTTTGCCCGTCCCTCCACTCCCGAGAGGCAGGCAGTTGATCCCGAGAGTGTTTGGCCTGGGCACCTTTGCGTGGGGCACCGGATTCATCACCGTGCACTTGGGTGCCTAAGGGAGTCCTGGTTCTCAGCGCTTCGTGCCCCTGTGAAGCTGTGTTCCCGTCTGCCATGACGTTCAGTTGGTCTCCCCAGCAACCGTCTCAAAAGCCATAAATAGCAGGTGAAGGCTCTGACGGAAGGAGCCAGAGGGCAACCGGACAACCCTGGCCAAGAGAAAAACTCTGAAGCCCGAAGTCTGGTTTGCAGCCACGCCCCCTGCGAGGAAGGCAGGGAAGGCCGATTCATTGCACTTGGCATTCTCCCTGTGCAGGCGGTCTTTCCATTTCGGATCTCTCAGCACGTAGAATCCATATGGGACATCTGAAACGGAGGTGGTTTGTTGGTGATGTTACAAGCCATTTTCAGTGACTTATAAAGCTGTTTTACAAAAACATCATCCTTACAGGAAGAAGAACACGGAAAACCACCAGACTTTATTTCCATTCCACCAAACGCCCTTCAAATCGGAATCAGTACACAGGCATGCATTTTTTTTCTTTTTTCTTTGCATTTTACTATTTATTTTCATTTTATTTAACGGGCAGAGAGACGGAGAAAGAGACTGAGAGACAAAGAGATTCTCCATCTGCTGGTTCACTCCCCCAGCACCCACAGCAGCTGGGGCTGGGCGAGGCCAAAGCCAGAAGCCGGTAATTCAGTCTGCCTGAGTCATCCCTGCTACCTCCCAGCAGGTGCACCCGCAGGAAGCGGAATCAGAAGTGGGCCCAGGGGGCCAGCTTTGTGTGGCCGCGGGTTAAGGCACCACCTGCAACACCGGGCTCTGTAATCAGAGCGCTGGCTGGAGCCCGGTGCAAACCCAGCTCCCTGCAATGCAGCTGAGAAAGTGGCAGAAGAAAGTGGCCCAAGTACCCACGCAGGAGACCTCGGTGGGGTCCCAGCCTCCTGGTTTCACCTGGCCCAGCCCTGGCTGTCGGAACCATTTGGATAATGAACTAAGGGATGGAAGATCTGTGTGTGTGTGTGTGTGTGTGTGTGTGATCTCCCCATCTCTGTCATTCTACCTTTCAAAGAAATAAAATAAATCTTTTTAAATAATGAAAGAAAGCCAGTATTCAGACCAGGCATCTGAAGAGCTGCCCCTAACGCCCGTCCCAGGCACCCGTTCTATGTAGCTGTACGACTTTCTGGGTGCTGTTTGCATTGTTGCTTCTGCACATGTTGCAAACTCCTGAGTGTCTGGTGCCCTGACCACGAAGTGCAGTTGGCACGGCCGTACCCTGTCTCTTGGAACTGTGGTCATTTCCGGCTTTTGCACAAGGTGCACAAGACAGGGCGCCTTTCCTCAGCCCCCCTGGGGCTCCCACTCTGGAAGGATAGCACCCAGGGGAGACCAGCAGATTCCCGAGTTGCATGCAGCTGGGCCCGAAGGCAGGTGGAGACCCAGGTCACGGAAGCTCGGGTCATGAAATGACCACAGCCAAGCCACCTTGGGGCCCTCTTTGAATCTTGGTTCCCAACAGCGATTCCCGCCTCCCCCAAGAATGGATCCCAATTCGGGCCGTTCCTCTGCACTTCGCGCCACCCTGCAGCCCGGCTCCCTCCACCCCTTCCTGGAAGCCAGACACAGGGGAGCACAGGGTGTGGCCTTTCTTTTCTAAGATTTATTTAATTATTTGAAAGGCAGACTTATGGGGGTGGTGGTGGATAGACAGAGAGGGAGAGAGATCTTCCACCCACTGGTTTACTCCCCCAAATGCCACAATAGCGTTGGCTGGGCCGGGCTGAAGCCAGATGCCTGGAACTCCATCTGGGTCTCCCACATGGGTGCAGAGGCCAAAGCACTTGAGCTGTCCTCTGCTGCCTTCCCAGGTGCATTAGCAGGGAGCTGGATTGGAAGTAGAGCAGCTGGGACTCGAACTGGTGTCCCTACGTGGTGCCAGCGCCATAGGTGGAGGTTTAACCCACCGCACCACGGTGCCGGCCCCAGGATGGGGGCTCTCTCCAGCCCTCCCTGGCTTCCCAGGCCTCACATAGAATCTGGACTGCTTGCTCTGACCCCGGAGACTTCCTGACACCCGATCGCCGCCTGCCCCTGAACCTGTCCTATCCACTCTCCCCTCAAGCCCAGGCCCCATCTGGCCAACCACACGGCACACCAGCGCCCCTCCCCACTTCTGGAATGTTCCCAGCCCCACCTCTCCCCACCTGCCTGTCTCAGCTCACCTGTGCTCTCCTCACAGGTAGTCTTCACTCCCCCCTCTCTGGAGGAGCCCTGACCCGGACCCCAAAATGATCAGCGACGCCCGTGGTTATTTCCTTGGTAGGACTCGGCACAGGTGGGCTTTCGTTGGTGTTACTGGCGCTTGGGGATCAGCTGCCTCCCTCCCGATCCCCGCTGGACAGGGAGGTCCACAGGGGCAGGGGAGGGCACTGTGGACTTTGCCACCCCCCTTGCCAGGTGCCCAGCCTGTGGTGCCCTTCTGAGGGCCTGAGTGAGAGAAGAGGCAGGGAGACTGAGGGTTCTCCAGGCCGCTGGATGCTTCTGTCTCCCTGGGCCTGGCTCCTTCTGGCCCTGGGTATGCCAATGTTCCAGATCCCTACTGCAGTGGGCGTTCGGTGGCTCGGACAGCCGGGGTGAAGGGAGAGAGCAGGAGGGGTTGGAGCCAAGGCCAGCAGAAAGCTGAAGATGCTGAATCCCACCACGGGCCCACCCAGAGGTGCCAAGCTCTCCTCCCCAGCTCTGCCTCCTCTCCGAGTAGCCCCCCAGGTTTCCAGACCCAGGTAGGCATTATCTTGCCACAGTTGTGCTAAGTCCCTTACCACCTTCATTTTTCAGAAGGAAACTGTCAGGGAGGTTTGAAAACTGCTCCCGGCTGATTCGTAGACCATCAAGCAGGATTCAAACCCAAGACCCTCTGACTGCTGGGCCCTTGTGCCCCAAGGCCGGGGGAGAGCTTTGGGTGCGTCCCAAAGAAGGCCACGGCCTGGGAGCTGCGACCTCAGGGCCCCTGAGGCCCCCACTACCCGGGCCTCGGAGAAGGGGGAAGCAGAATCCCAGACAGCACCCCCAAACTCCGGTCCCTGGTCCCCAGGGAGAGCGTCGCTCGGGCGCGCAGTGCACAGCCAGTCACTTCCTGGACAGAATCCGACCACAGTGGGAGAAAACGTGGGTCTGCCCCTAGCCTGTCACGTGACTCGGGGTACCTGGCCTCTGTCCCCCCGGGCCTCAGTTTCCCTCGCTGCACAAGCAGAGGGCGTCCTGCGTGCCAGCGGCGTCATCCGTAGTCCAGGAGGAGCTAAGCCGGGCAGTGGCCAGGAGGTGAGCCCGGCCCTCCGGGAGCGCAGGCTGGGACGGGTTCGCAGTAAACCTCTTTCCTCCGGGTCCGGCTGGCTGGCATTCTACACCTGACTAGCACGGTCTACACCCGGCCCGCCCGCGCCCTCCACCCAGACGAGCTCCTCCCACTCCCGGGGCGCCCACACAGCGCCCCGGGCTCACGGCGGGGCATCGGCAGGGTTCCTTCCCGCTCCGTTGCCCTCTCAGGGGGCTCCTGGGTCGGAGCGCCCGCGGGGCCGTAACCCGAGCCCCCCCAAAAGGACCCAGGTCCAGGTCTCAGAGCGGCGCGGGGACGCCGCGAGGAGGCGCCACCACTCCAGCTTGCGGGGTCCTGGCGCCCCCAGGGCGGCCCCGAGGCTCCGGGCGATCACCTGCACGGGGCGGAGCTGGGGGCGGGACCCCTGGGCGGGGCGGGATTCCCACCAGCCGCGTCCAGCCTGGCGGCGGCGGCGTCACCAGCGACTGATCGCCGGAGCGCAGCGGGGCGCCCAGCGGGGTCGCCGGAGCAGGTAGGAGGCGCCTGGCCGCCCAGCTCTGCGGCCAGCGCGGGCCGGCGGCTCCCTGTCCACCTGCTGGCCACGCTGGGCAAGGGGAGCCCCAGCCTTGCTCCCATCTCTGTTGGGCGGTGGTCGGGGTGGGGTTGGGGCTGATCTCTAGGGGGTTTGAGGGCACGGCGGTTGGGGGTATGAGTGCGTCCAGGTGCCCAGAACGCCGACCGAGCTCCACCCCGCGGGGAGAAGGGCCCCCGGAGCAGCCTGCATTTTGGGAGTGCTGCTTCCGTGTGCATCGGTCCATCTCTGGTGCCATCCTCGTCCCCGCCTCTGGCGGAGAGGCTGAGACTTCCCGGAAGAATGGGCAGCTGACCTGGGCAGGTAGAAGGAAGTTGGACCCGCTCGGACACGGGTTTGCCTCTCTGTGAAATGGGCGTCTGGATGGGTCGGGCCTAGGCGGAAGCCCCTCGGAAGCTCTGCCATTGGATGAGATGAAAACCCCGCCCCGGGGGAGGAGGCCAGGTTGAGATGCACCAGGCATGTGGGGTGCGGCTCCAGAGGACTGGTGTGGGGACCCCAGCTTCTTGGGTACCCTTGTGGGAGGAGGGGGCAGCTGTGGCAACCTCCAGGGCTCAGTAAAGGGACCAAGGAGTCCCTGGAGTCTGGGGGAGGATTCCAGAGGGCTCCGTGGAGGAGGTGAGGTTTGAGCAGGGCTGGGGAAGACAGCACACTGTTAAGAGCCGAGCTGTGGGATCCCTGGCTCGCCCCACAGCCGGGGCCACTTGAAGGCCTGGGCAAGGCCCTACCCCTCCATGGTCCAGTCTGATGTGTTCGTTCAATGACGCATTCTGCTAAGACAGATAAATCCACATGAAGTGCTTGGTCCAGGCTCTGTACAGAGCTCGCTCTCAGCAGCACCAGCTATGAATTTCTGCTGGGCCATGGCTCCCTGGGGCAGGGACCAGGCCTGTTTGGTCCCGAGGGGCGCCTGGCTGGTGGGGAGTCAGCTCCTGGCGGGGGGGGGGGGGGTGAGCCAGGAGCACACTGACCAGGGCTCCAGGAAGTGGTGGACGTCTCTGGGGACCGGCTATCATGGTTTCCCATCAGTCGCCTTGGCCAGTTGCTGGACATGAACTGTGGCCGCTTCTGTCACAGGCTGGGAGGGAGCTCCAAGCAAAGCTAGGGGGCTTTCCTGTGCTGGCGTCCTGGGCGGGGCCTCTGTTGAGTTTCCATACCTTGACTTAAGCAAAAGTGGGAGACCCAGGGGCAGCCATCAGTAGGAGCCGGCGGCGCTGCACCCTCAGAGAGCCAGGTTCCAAGTTCCCGTAGCGCTTTCCATATCTGCTCGGGATGGTTTTCGATGTCTGTGTGTCGCCGTGAACCCGTGCCGCTCTGCTCACTGTATCCTCACCAGCGCTGCCGCTGGTGGTGCTCAGGCTGAGGACTGGGTTCTTGGCTTTCTTTCTTTCTTTTTTTTTTTTTCTTAAGATTTACTTACTAATTTGAAAGGCAAAGTGACAGAGAGAGGGGGAGCGCGCAGGAGAGGGAATCTTCCATCTGCTGGCTCACCCCCCAAATGCCTGCAACAGCTGGGACGGGGCCAGGCCAAAGCCAGGAGCCAGGAGCTCCATCTGGGTCTCCCTGTAGGTGGCAGGGACCCAAGCCCTTCAGCCATCACCTGCTGCTTTCCCAGGTGCATTAGCAGGAAGCTGGGTAGGAAGCAGACGGGCCAGGACTTGAACCGGCGCTCCTATGGGATGCCGGCATCCTAAGCAGCAGCTTAACCCGCTGTGCCACAACTCCCAAAACTGACCGCGAGTTTGTTGGATTTTTTTGTTTTGGCATCTCTGCCCTGTCCGCCTCCACCACTAATATCTTTTCTCGGACAAGGACCCGCTAGGAGGGACACACACCTGGGGGCAGGCCTGGGGCTCCAGGGAGAATCTGCCACATCCTCGCTGACCCCTCCCATTGCCCAGACGCCAGGTCACAGAGGGGGTCTGAACCGCAGACGCAGCAGCACTTGCCTGCGTTTCCTGATCTTCAGACAGAAGGGGTGGGAGTTAAAAACCAAGAATAAATGTAGAGTGGATGGTACGTTTTCCAATACACCCTTTAATTATTTTTAAACTTCATATTTGATGAAAATAAAGATCCCAGATTACATAGATTCACTTTATTTTAAAAAAAAACAGTATTTATTTATTTGAAAGGCAAAGTTACAGAGAGGCAGAGAGAGAGAGAGAGAGAGAGAGAGAGATCTTCCATCCTCTGGTTTACTCCCCAAACGGCCGCAAGGGCTGTAGCTGGGCAGATCTGAAGCCAGGAGCTTCCTCCGGGTCTCCTACGTGGGTGCAGGGGCCTATGCACTTCGGCCACCCTCTGCTGCTTTCCCAGGCACGTTAGCAGGGAGCTGGATCACAAGTGGAGCAGCCAGACCCAAACCCGTCGCCCATAAGGGATGCTGGCGTTGCAGGCTGCGGCCCCACATGATACACCACAGTGCTGGCCCCACTTAATTTTTATTTAAGATCTATGACTGGAGTGGAAGAAAAATACCCCAAATAGGAGCCTCTGTAACTGGGCTGAGCTGTTGCAGCCGAGTGCTGCGCGCTGGCTCTGCACTGCCCCGCGGGGGCCTCCGGAGCCCCGGGCAACAGCGGCGGTGGCCGTGGTGCTCCTGGAAGGCGTCCAAGCCCTGTGCGCGCTTCCCCGCCGGTCCCCTCCTGTGCCCAGCGGCCTCCTGATGCGCGCGCTGGCATCACAGCCCCGCACCCCAGTCTTCGCCTGAGGAATCTGGCACGAGGACGCCCTGGTTGTTTGCCCTGGGGCGAGGTCCTGATCAGAACAGGGAAGGGGACCGAGCCCAGCGCAGGGCAGGCCAGGAAGCCGCCTGCCGGGGGCCCTGAGCTGGGCTGGCACTGAGGGCAGGGAGGGTAGGGCAGGGGCCTGAGTGGGGCTGAGGGGCGGGGGCTTCTCCTGTGGTTTGAAGCTGCCCTTGGCCCGAGGAAGGAGAGGGTGTGCCAGGCTCTAAGACAGAGAGGCCTGTTCTCGGGCCTGCTGGGAGGGGCCTCCTGCCTGGGGTGGAGACGCACCTGGGCTGCTGGGGCAGGGAACCCAAGGTCCCCAGGACCCTGCTCCAGGGCTCACCTGGAGGAGGGGGAGCGAGAGGGACTGCGGCTGTCCTCTGCCCCCGAGCCTGGGATCCCATCCCATCTCAGCCTCGGCTTCCCTGTGCATGAAGCAGAGGTGGCAGTGTCCACGACGTCACTTAGTAAGCATTTGTTTCTCCTTTGGATAAACTTCTGTCTGGGGGCTGCTGGGCCAACCTACCGGCAAACAGCCTCTAGGGTGGTTTCTTTTCTTTCTTTTTTTTTTTTTTTTATTTGAAAAGCAGAGAGAGAAAGAACCAAAGACCCCCAGAGAGAGATCTTCCATCTGGCTCACTCCCTAAAAGGCCACACAGGGCCATCTGGGTCTCCCATATGGGTGACAGACACCCAAGTGCTTGAGCCATCATCTGCCGCCTCCAGGGTGCGCACAGCAGGGAGCTGGGTTGGAAGTGGAGGAGCTGGGACTCGAACCAGGCGCTCTGATGTGGGCTGTGAGCATGCCAGGCGATGACCTCACCTCTGTGCCAAACACCTGCCCTGGCCTCAAGGATTTTTAAATCCCTTCCACAATTCACAAGTCATTCATTCATTCATTCATTCGGTCCACTTCCTCTGTTCTTTCGAGCACCTGCCTGGGGCCTGCACTGGGAATTCAGCGAGAGCTCTTTTTGGCGCCTGCTTGGTGCCACCTGGCACCCCCAGCACATGGCAGCTGTGCAGCTTCTACCTGGGGGCGTCTCTCCCGCCTGCTGCGCAGAGAAGCAATTGTGTGACCACTTCCACCCAGGCCCACAGGCCTCCTGGGATTCCCTAAGCTCATGGCCTGCAGTTCACAGAGAGAAGCCACTGGGCCAGTGTGATTGGCGGGAGCTTCCTGTGCGCCCAGCCAGGGCTGAAGGCTGCGCTGCCCCGGCGCCCGCAGCCCTGCTGGGGGAGTTGCTCTTCCCCAGCTCGCCGAGAGGTGGAGCCACTTGCCGAGGGCACACGGAGCAGGGATGCGCTGACCTCCCTGGGCCACAGTGCTTCCTAGGATCCTTCCTCTAGACTATTAAACATTACACTTATGACCGCACTGGCATATTAAAGCAATTTCTTCACGGCCGGGGCTGTGATGCAGAGGGTTAAGTCGCCGCCTGCGATGCCGACATCCCATACGAGCACTGGTTCTAGTCCCAGCTGCTCTGCTTCCAATCCTGCTCCCTGCTATTGTGCCTGGGAAAGCAGCAGAGGATGGACCAAGTACTTGGACCCCTGCCTGTTCGGTGGAGTTGGCAGCTGCTGTCCAGGGGCAGTGGAGGGCGGCTCAAAGCTGAGCTGGGGTAAGGATGGACGGGAACAGGCAAGGCTCAGGCGTGCACTGCTCTGTCAACGCCCCTCCCCCCACACCTGGGCTCTCACAAGAGGCCCCGCCTCCTGCCCCGCCTCCTTCTCTCTGGGATCATAGAGGTGAAGGCTGACGTCAAACCTGGCAGGAAGCCCACCAGGACAGGCTGTCCACAGTCCGTCCTGGGCTCATCTTTTTCCTTATGCCTTCCATGTGCCCCAGACAGACAGCTGGTGCCTCCAGGGAAACGTGAACACACCTGCAAAATAATTGTAAACTCCTGAGCAGAGCTGCTCCAAGAGACGCAGCAGGTCAAGTCCCCTACGCCAGGCAGAGCAGGATGTGGCGGTGAGGGGCCCGGGGTTTAAAGTAAAGCACGGCAGTTATTCTTAGGAGGTAAGAGAAGAAAGGTGGGGGCGTAGCGGGTAAAGCCGCCTGCGGTGCCGGCATCCCATTTGGACGCCAGTTCGAGTCCTGGCTGCTCCACTTCCGGTTCAGCTCTCTGCTATGGCCTGGGAAAGCAGTGGAAGATGGCCCAAGTCTTTGGGCCCCTGCACCTGTGTGGGAGACGCGGAAGAAGC